GTGGCTCGCCTCAAGCGGTTGACTACGTGTTTTCATGAGAGTTTGGCCCGAAACCAGAACTTGTTTTTGACGGGAAAACCTCCAAGGCTGTTCCAGCATCCTCTACATGCTCACCTCTTCTTGGTAGCGATGTTCTTCAACAGCATCGAACTGGTGAATGCTTTGAGAAAATTCTTTCAGACCCTGCCATCGACTTCAGCCTTCCTCCTCGGAACAGCCTCCCTGGCACGATCTTAAAGTTTATTTTCAGCGCAGTTGACTCTTTGATTGCAAAGGAGAGCCCGCTTATATACAAGTTTGGCTTTACGCACTGCGCGCAGTGGCGATTTCGCAATGCGATGTACGGATATGTCACTGACACATTTCACCAGTGGGATCGGATGAGAGTTATGTACGCTGCCTCGGAAACTATATCACCGGCTTTTGTTGAGGCTGCCCTCATTCAGAGGTACAAGGGTTGCTTGGCTCAAGCATGAAATCAACCATTCCCCATTGTTGAGCACGAATGCCCGAAAACTGGGCCACAGGTGGACTGAAACGTATCGGGCATTTTTTCCGCGTGCTTCAGTTGTTCATTCCTGAGGTTGCTCGGGGTGCAAAAACATCCGAGATGGCGGGGAGTCTGTGCAGAAGTCTGAGTGTGGCCCCTTCCTCGTCTACTGTGTCTTCAGATCATTCAAGCACCCGCCGGCTGTGAAGGGCAAACCCGAACAGAGAACAAGACCCCTTCGTTGAATGTTGAATGGAAAAGAAAGCTGTGGTTGATTGCACTGACTGATGGGCTCAACCCTGCCGATCCAAGGCTTCAAACGGAATTTGACGCTGTTCGCTCGAAGATCCAAAAACCGTGCCTTTTCTGAACTCGAGCCCAACACATGTTCCCTCAACAGACTGCCGCCAAACAAGGTGTGCTGAGCTGTGTGGCAAGATGGCCAAGCATAAGTGCATCACTTAGTTGGATTGGTTCTCGAAAGACAACAAGAGAAGAGAAGAGAGAGAGAGAGAGAGACAGAGAGAGAGAGAGAAGAGCGAGCGAGAGATATAGAGAGAGAGAGAGAGAGATAGCCCCCGTACACAGTTTACTTCTCACTTGAACAAAACACACGCTTGGCTGTAGGCTTTTCCTGAAGGAGATCAACCAGAACCGCAAGAAGAGTGGGCAGGACACGTGTGAGAAACCAAAGAAACGCGATGAGCCGGATGCGGAACAAGAAGCGCCCCCTCCAAAGAAGAGGGCGCGAAGGAAGGTCAAAGCTTGAATACTGCACATATGATGCTCTCTTGGGTGGTGAGTTCATTGAAATCGCCAAAACACTCCCCCTTACAATTCCTTACATGCATATATATAATAGCTCATACAGAGAGACAGGTTACCAAGGTTGTTTGATTGCGTCCGAAGAACAAAGTGTTGGCGGTTTCGATGAAACTGTTTGCTCGTTGGCCTTAGCCCTGAGTGTGTGAATACACGCGCTCAGCCTGGCCAACATTAGAATCTTTAGATTGCTGCGGTTATGCGCAGCGCTGGTAATCCATCGATCACGCAACTGACATCCAGAAGCGTGCTAGAGTTGTGGTCTTGGGGTCGGCTCAAAAAAGACTTTTGCGCATTGGCTTGACCTGAGTGGTGGCAACAGCATGCGCATATTGGTACCAAACTTGAAACCAATCCGAAACGGCTGGTCGAACGCTTGTCGAACGCCAGGTCCGTGCTGGACAGCTAAGAAGCTGGCTCGCGACATTGGAAGTGGAGAGCCATGGCTGCAGGACTCTGGTATAGCGTTGGTTTCACGAATGTTCATCCATATTTTGAAAGAGGTGTCATTTTTGAGGGACTATTGCAACGCTGCTTCTCGTTTTCTTTCGCCAAGGGGACTTGCACAAGCGCTCTGGGTACAGCTCGGGCTGTGATGCGTGATTCCCGGGAGCTAGGTGGCGAGGAGATACAATGCCCTGTCCTCAAGAGGTTGGAAGGGGCTCCAAACAAGAAGTCTGCCGCTTTGCAGGCAAAGTCGTGCTTTCGTGACTGTGTTGCTTTTCCCAAACATGGAAGCCCAAATAAACAGCCATGGCGGTTGGACCGGCCTTTTGTTGTCCTTTTTCAGGTGGTACAAAAAACATATTAACAACATTCTTCAGCTCTGAATCAGGAAGAGGTCGCCCACCGAACCTTCTCCAAGTTTGGCCTTCGATTGAATGTGAAGATTACTTATGTGGATGTGGGTGCCCGCCAAAAGCTGCCCATGCTCTTGCCGTCGTCCTTCCTCGAGCTCATAGACAAGAAAAACTTCTGGGGCAAGATTTGCGGACAACCAACTCTGGCATCGGCTGAGCGTGCCTTTGCATCTTTCTGGGAGAAGTACAAAGTTGTTTGCCCCGACTTCACGTTTTTCGACATTGCCCGTGAAAGAAATATCCCCTTGTGTAGGGCGTGCCCCATCTATGTCCACGGGGATGAGGGCACCCACTACAAACGAGGTGCAATAATGATCTTGCAGTTTCAGGGGGTGCTGGGGTCGGGAACTACTCGCCATGTGAATGACAACACCCGGGATGCTCTTGCCGTCAACTCGTTGGGCAACACGTTGAACACAAGACTGCTAGTCGGCACTATGACAAAGGAAGCTTGGTCTCATTTACAATGATGCAACATTTTCACTTTAGAATTTGCGGTAAATCGTTACAGGTGTTCCTATCTTTGGATCTTTGGGGGTGTCGTGCAAGTTCTTAATTGGTCAAGCCAAACGCCAACCCTCGATGCCGATCTATATCATTCCCATTAAGGCAATGTACAAGTTTACACCCGACGTGCTGGAGGGGATGTTTGAATTCCTGGTGGAGGATTTGCACATGCTGTGCACCAAGGGTCTAGTTTTGAAGGATGGCAATCCTCTCTGGTTGGTACCCTTAGGAGTGAAGGGGGATTGGCCGTTTCTCGTATCTTGGCAAGCCATGGCAATGCTTTTACTGTTTTTGCACCGGTCCCGCCTAAACAAGCTTACACGAGTGGCTTTGGAATCCAAGGCCACTGCTGGTGGACTTACCAGGACATTCCGAAATGGCCCAAAGGCTGCTGCCTCGAAAACCGCTGGGGTTGGAATATGCCACCTTTGCAGAGCCGGCCAACCGGGGCTGGACTTTGAGGATATGCTCCCTGCCTAATACTCTTTGCGTGGTAGCTTTTGTAGTTTGACATTTCTTTGGAATGTGTTAAATGGGATTGGTGTAAGTGACAAGCGATTGAAAACAGTTGCATTGGGCCCCAAAAAGGTCTGACTACCCACCATTCATGGAAACCATCGATGAGCAACCTCCTTGGGATGACTTGCCGTGTTGGGTTCGGGTACTTCCACATGATCGCAACAGCCCCGCTGCATACTTCAAGCCTGACGTGTGGCATACCGTGAACCTGGGGGTGGGGCGGTCATGGGTTGCCAACTGCGTGGTTCTCTTGGCATGCAACCTTCCGGAGTTTGAGAGCCTCAGCATTGACGATACCTTGGCCCGCCTGTCGACTTCATACGTTGCTTTCTGTGAGGCGTCTGAACCTCGATTGATTTTACAACTAGTTTAGCCCGTTTGAATTATAAACAACAGCCGGCGCTTGAACATGCTGCATCCTACGCTTGCTGTTTGGCAACTGCATGCATATAAGGTGCCGAAGAAGGTGAAGTACATCAGCACGCTTACCCGAACGACTTTTGGCTGGGAAAGCACTAGTGTGGCGCCCGACGGCACTTGGAGCAAGGGTTCCTTGACAACAACTTTAGCATCCTGGGTGGAAGCATTCTGTCAAGAGCGCGCTCTGGAACAAGGTTCTGACAACCGGCTTGCTTTGGTGGCTTCAGGCACTCGTGCCATGAATGCAATGATGAAAGCCTTTTATGATCATGATTTGTGGCTGGATATGGCTGGTAAGAACCGCGTCCTAGCTGCTGGCCATCACTTCTTGCAAGCAACCGCAAAGCTTGCGGTTCTCTCTTTCCAGCTCCGCCAAACAATGTTCCCAATTACCCCGAAACATCATATGATGTTTCACTGCATCAAAACAATCGAGTGGCAGGGTGACGTTGCTGGGTACGCCCAGAACCCTGTATCAGAATTTTGCGCTTTGGATGAGGATTTCATCGGAAGGGTAGCTTCGGTGTCCAGATCTGTAAGCCCAAGACTTACATGCCTACGCGTGGCTCAAAGGTACCTGCTTTTGTGCCGGGCTGCGTGGGTGGGCGATCTGGATGACCTAATTCGGGGTGTCAAACGCGGACGCAATTAAGTGATTGCTTAGCGCACGCAGCGGGGGAAAATTGGTGCCACTCCTTGCGGGGTTCCTCGTGTGGACGCCCAATGATCTTCGAGAGGCCGGCGCGGCCGGGCGAGGGTCCAGGCAAGTGTCAGCCCCCCCCCCCCCGGTCAAAACACAAAAAACAACACCAGTGCTCCAAAAACCGTTCGGTGTTCCAAAAAGCGTTCAGGTGTTGAAATCCCTGTAAAACCATCGTTTTGGGAAGAAGTGTTGAAATTAGTACGTTTTTGGGGGTCGCAGGTGGGTTTTGTACGAGTTTTGTATGGCTTGTGTATGTGATTTCAAAAGTAAAACCGGGTTTTCGGTTGGACAACCCTGTTTTCGGTAAGCAACAGGCTCAAAACCAGGTTATTCGTTTGCATCCTTTATTTTTAAAGGTTCTTGGAGTAGAGGGATCCTTTCCCTCAAATAACTGTTTTCAAATGGGGTGCATTTCAGAAACCTCAACAAGCTTATTGACTCATGCATATCCCGTTTTGACACATTGCCATGAGAACTCCTCCCATCTGACTCAGGGTTGCCTTTTTCCAGGATATGGGGTTGGTCTCCGCAAATCATGGAACCGTCCTCTTGAACACCTCTTGGTCTTGGCCCAGTGTTTCCAGCAAGCTTTGTTTCGTTTCGGGGTAGCCAAGGTGGCCAAGAAAATCCAGCGACTTGGCGCCTACTCTGAGTCGCGTCATTTCTTGGGCCCCCTGACGGGCACCTCCGGCGGAAGGCCGTCGCGCTTGGGCCCGCTCTTGCGCCAAGTCTTCTGCTCCTCTTCTGCACGGCCGCCTGTCGTGACTCCGAAGAAAGCCTCTGCGCTAACCTTGAAGATATCAGGTTCCGGAAAAAAAGTTGTTTGTGGTACTACAAGAAGGGTATCCTAAAATGAATTGTTCGCTAGATTCAGGATCATAGTCCCTCAACAAATGTGGATGGTTATATTACTGGGTCCACTTCAGGCGAATCTGCACAAATGACTCTAGTTCACCTTCTGAAAACGCACGATTTGTCCGGAAAAATGGCTTTCAGGCATCTGGCATGACTCCATGTGCCCGCATTTGCCCGCGTTTCCCGTCTGGCTTCGGCAAAAGCGAGCCCAGGCCACGAATGGCCAGCAGCACCTTTCGCACGGGCGCGCTCAAGGCGCGATCCTTGCGAGGGGAAGTGTCTGAACTAATTCCTTATGGCTCCTTTGGGCCTTGTTTTAGGTGACACGCCCCACCGCACCCGTGGAGGCGTTTCTTTTTGGAGGGTGGGGGGGGGGGGGGATGACAGCGACCATGTCCATGTGGAGGCGTTTCTTTTTTGAGGGGTGGGGGGGACAGCGACCATGACCATGTTGCCAGACCCGGCAGGCGCGGCTTTGGTGTCTTCTGCGTGTGGCGGGGGGGGGAAGAGGCGGGCGAACTGCGCCCCCGCAGGCACGAGTTTGGCTGGAGCAGGGCATGTGGCATGTGGCAAGCGGAGTGATGGGCACTTCAAAAGCAAACCGCATGAATACACACACAAACATCCCATCCAACAACAACAACAACGTCAACAACAACAACACACGCACGTCCTTACTTTCGCACTTCGTTGGGCACCCATGGAGTCGGTCTTGGAGCCAGTCGCACTGCTTATTCTGCTACGCCTGGCACGGGTGTCGTTGCCTCCTGGTTTGGATGGCTGGCGGGCACGCAGCAGATTGATCGCTGCTGGCATCACTTGAAAAATATCATGCCCAGTAAGATGAAGAGCCGCGGTCCCAGCGGCCTGATCAACAGTCGCCTGTGGACGAGAGCATACCAATTCTTGTATAGACGGTCTTTGTGTGCCTGACATATTAAACATGTGGTCTCTGTGGCAAAGAGATAAAACAAGCAGTGCCCGATGCCAGCATGTCAATGCATGAAAGCTGCTGTTAGATACAAACGAACTTTTTGGCACCTTGCGGCATGCTCCTTCAGCAGATTTGAATGGTAAACGCGCGTTTTTGCGCGGGTCCTGCTGAGCGTGCGACCTTGTTTTAGCCAATGTCACTCAATGCTAGCGCCAGGCGTAGTGGTATTTCGATCCGCGCAGAGGAACAAATGCTTAGTGATGTGATTATCCACACCACGACTTGGAGCTGACTACGAGACCAAAACAAAAACGGCGATCCTGGATTGGCTCAATCTGTGCAAGCAGCCTGCCACTCAGATTCAGATGGAAAGGCCATGTCGTGCCCAAAGGCTCGACTCATAACAAGGCATCGGACTTGCATCCGCAACCCCGTCCTCAGGGAATTCTGAGGGAAGCCCTGCGGGCGGCACAGCCTTCTGCAGGACCTCGGGTTTCTTGCGCGCGCTGGGGCCCGGTCCAAGAAAACCATGGCAGCCGTGGCAGCCCTTTTGGTTGGGAAAAGCGCAATTCCCTGCAAGATTGCAAGGGAAAACGACACACCCCTCTTTGGGTGCCAATCCGTTGCGGGAAGCCAAGTAAGAAAGCTCAGCACGCAATGGCTGGAGCGACTGCCCCTCAGTTACATTCTGTTAGGGCCCTTGTTCGGCCCTTGGACACAGCAACTACGCATTAGGTTGCATCACTGGATAAGTAGACTGGTGGTTCTTCCTTGCAGTCCCCTGGTTCGAAATGACAGAACCCCCTTTGTTGGTTTCAAAGCCAAACTGCAAGGAAGCTCGTCAGGGTTACAAAGCCTTTGGCACGCTCGTAAAAGGCAAGACTAAAACCAACAAACGCACATTTGCCACCCTTGCTCTTTGATCATTTCGAGGCTCGGAGCAAGCCTGAACTTCCTTGTCATCGTACGCCATTGTCCATCACATGGGCTGAGTCTGCGACATGAGTTCTCCTTGCTCTCCAGCGCCAACCCTTCGGACGGCACAAGGTTCGGAACGTTTCCAATGGGGCCAGGGAACCCGCAAAGAGGTTCTCAGACCCTGAGCGTCCAACCTCTTTGCACTTCAGGATCGATGTGCGGTGCTGAGAAACGACGACACTGAAACAATCACAATATAGCTGTCCCTTGAAAAACCAGCTGAATGAAAGCCGGTCCCCAACTTTGGGAAGTGATCGAAGGTCATTCTCGCTTTTCCTCTCCTTGAGATGTGCCCAAGAACGCAGGGCCAAACAAGTAGAACGAAACGGATATCACGGCATGTGCACCATGGCTAATTCTGGAACGCCCTTCCCTTTTCCATGCCACAAACACACTTCGCAGCCATCTTGCTTCATCTTGCTCCTATATAGACTTGAGTCGCCCAGTAATTGCATCACCCACTTCGAGCATCTCCTCCGCATGATCCAAGGATGCTAACGCGCCTTCAATATTCACCCGTGCCAACCTATTGAAACAGATTGGCACGGGCCACGCCCACCAAACTACCACTTTGCAAAATATGAGATTATTACCCTTAGCCAAAGGACTTTCGCAAATGAGGCTCTTCCCGTGTCCACCTTCCCAAGGAATCGGAACCTCCGCACATTTCCGCGGGGAGTGGAGACCCCGCCTCTTCCCTGGGGCGATGACCCAGTGGTGGGTTGCGCGCGTAGGCCGCGTAGGAAGCGTTCTCCGCGTCTTGGACCCACTGCGGCACGTCGGTCATGCGGGAGTAGTCGTGCTGGGGCAGTTGTTGGATCGGGGGCTTCTTGGGAAGGACAGCCTCGGGTGGCACAGCGCAACAGTGAATTGTTGGTTCAGCTGATGGACAAAATCCATGCCAATCACCACCAGTTGGAATGGATGAAGCTCTGGGGTAAAACTCCGACCAACTGGTGCAGGATTCTGTCCATCCACAGTATGAGTAGGACTTTTAATTGGGGACCCTTTGCTGCATCTCATTCATAGAGCATTGTGTCTGCTAACCAGTGTTGAGAGGATCGCGTCAACATTCATAGCTTGAACCAACCCCAGTCAAAGGGGCCAGCAAAACCGCATGATCTACCCAATGGGTTGCAATCATGTGCACTGTGGCTGAATTTAGAGCCGCGCTGACGTAGTTCGTGTGATTGCTGCTGGCATCGCCTTCTCTCAAGATGTAGCAGGCTTCTTGACAAACTGCGGGTGTGCCCCCGCCTTGCTTTTGGCTTGCTTGGGAATCGAAGGTGGCGCCTCAACCGCACACCCGCAAACCCGCTCACCCAGAAACCTGCCGGCGCAAACGTGTGCGAACGCGCACACACACACACACACCCAAAGACACACGCACCAGTCAATGCTACAAAAGGGGCCAACAAAACCGCATGATCTATCCAATGGTTGCAATGATGTGCGCTGTGGAAGGCTGAATTCAGAGCCGCGCTGACGTAGTTCGCGCGATTGCTGCTGGCATCGCCTTCTCTCAAGATGTGGCAGGCAACTTGACAAACTGCGGGTGTGCCCCCGCCTTGCTTTTGGCTTGCTGGGGAATTGAAGGCGGCGCCTCAACCACACTCCCGCAAACCCGCACACCCGGAAACCTGCAGGCGCATACGTGCGCGAACACACACACACACACACACAAGCACGCATGCACAGTGCCCTGTTACACACTCACACATGTGCACCAACAGAAGAAAGCCACATATCCGCACACATGCTGGGCAATCTGCCTTCATGACATTCTGGTCCATGCTGAATGACTCAGCCTGGCACGCTGCCAACCTGCTTGCAATTCGTGTCTATGGGCCCGGCCTTAGGATCCCCAGCGCCTGGGCCTTATAACGATCATGCAGTCAACGGAGCTGCAGTATGCTTAGTCTGCAACATGCCCCTGGCCTCCGCCAAAATCAGTCGGTGCGTAGCTGAAGCCCTATGCTTGTGAACTCCAAAACGTGTCCCGTTTCCGACATGCCCAATGTCGCCTCCAACACGGCGGTAACAAAGAAGCTAGAGCGGGGGAAATTGAGGATGGAGCAAATCACCATTGTGCCTGGGTCCCCAAGTCGCCCCAGCTCCTAAAGCCCTCCTTCACCCATTCTCCAATTCCCAATGACCCAGGCAACGACACGGAAATGCTCCTTGGGATTGCTCATTTTTCGCAGGGAACCCATCAAACAAGGACTTCGAGAATCGTGCCAAATCGAGGGTGTGGAGAAGTCAAGCGAATCATCCATCCCCTTTGGCTTCCTTTTGGTGAAACAAAGCGAATTTGAACGTCATCGATTCAGCCAAGTCTGTTCCGGGTGTCCTGCTGGAAATCACCTCCGGCTCCTTCTCAGGTTCCCTCTCCTCCGCTGTCGCCTTAGTGGCCCAAACACTCCGCGCCGCCGGAGACGGGTGCTTAGGTTGGTATCAACCAGAATCACGAAGTCAGGTTCTCGGACTCCGGAGGACCCAGATGATGAACACCGGCTTCAGAAGACTGGGGCGTTTTGTCATAGGATGTGTTTCCTGAGTTTGGGTCCTGCGGAATCCAAAGCATGAAGGGTTACCTGAGACTCTGCACACTGCAGGTTGCTTCCGCAAGAATGTCAAATAAGACTGCATCCACATGCCTGTTCTATGTGAACAAAGCTCACTCTTTTGTGAATTAATGGCGCCAGCCTCCTCTTGCGATGGGTGAGCAGTCTCCATGCTGACCAGCTGCATCACCTACGACGAGAACCGCGCCAAATTATTAGGCATGACTCAACTCGGAATGTATGAGCAACTATGTCTTGCCGGACACCAGCAAAATGCTTGACGATCATCTCTGTTTCAAACACTGGCCCGCTTCAAAAACCACAGGTAACAATCAACGCCTTTTTGCAACACATCAAATAAAGCATGGACACACACACACACACACAACAAGTCCCGCTTTTGGGTCGAGCTCTTCGGTGTTGTCCTCATCGCTGCTGGCATAATCTGACAGCAGTGTGTTGCTCTTCTTCGTAAACTTCTCCTGCTCACTGCGCTTGAGGTCGCAATGAAACCTGTTACTTTTCCCAATGCACTGGCTCCGTGTCGTGTTTGGATCATGGCGTGTCTTCGGTATGGCTGTCTTCTTTGCTTTGCAGGGCAACACATCAACACAAAAGCACAAAATTCAAATGCTGTTTCTCTAAGAACCTCATCATCCAAACATCCAAAACCAGTCAATGTGCTATGTTCATGGCTTGCCTCGGCATTGCACACTCCCATGTTGAACAACTGCACAGGGCTGTTGCCCCTTCAGCGGCTTCTGCATCTCAATGAAAAAGCAGGTCTTTGGAAGCAAACATTATCGATATGGTGCGGTTGCTTCGAAGTCATGCTGGTTGGCATGGAGCATTCGTACATCTGGGTGCTAAGAAACGCTATGACAAATTGTGCTTCAGCCCCCGGTGCCGTTTGCCAGTGGGTGAACTCTATTGGAAAACCCTGACCAAACCAAAGGGAGAACTTGTGCATGGTCAGCTCCAAACGAAATTGAGCAGTTGGTGCCCACCAACCACACGCAACATCAACCAGTACAAGCTCAAATGCTGGCTTAGAGCCATTGCAGTGTGTCTACGTTGGACAGGACCCACTAAATACAGCAATGATGTGAACATGGCCGCGCCTCTGACCGGCACTCCTTATATAATTCGGGGTTGATAGGGGCTGACAGCAGAAAGGCATAGTAAGGCACATTGAAGGCACACGTTGGGGTCAAATAGCGCTCGAAGCTGAGTGTGTCAGTATCGCTCAGCATTCCAAACTAGCTTCTGCCATATCCATGGCTAACATTGGAAACCATGCCCAGCGGGAGACGGTTTAAGCGGCGAGGAACTTGCCCAAGGCTTTCGCAGGCTATAAGCATCCCCAAACCAAGTGCCAAGTGAAGTGTTCGTTCATCTCTCCTCCAACTTCTGGCTTTCCGGCTCAGTCTTCGAATCCTGAGCGTCCATGTCCGCTTCCGCAAGCGCAGCTAATAGGAATAGCCTCGTGACCTCGCCTTCGCAGTTGTTCCTTGCTTTTCCAACGACGTGACATGTTTCTATCTGTGCTTCCCCTACTCTTCTAGGCATCCTTCTTTGCAGAAAAGAATGCCCAACTTCATCTCTTGCGAAACAACCAGTCTTGACATGTAACACAAGGCAAACATCCAGGAAGGCATCAGTGGGGCTGGCAGCGGTTGTTGCTGAGGCAAGGTATACCAACAGGGTACGGTGTTTTTTTTGCTTGACCCTGTCTTTGCTTAACCCTGTCTCCGTTTTGGGGCTCAGTTTCATTACCCGGAGCTACTTGGTTGGGACACGCTCTGGACAGTAAGAGTGCAACAGTTCTCGGCATTTCGGCCTTCGGAACCGATTTCCGGATGGGGCATTAGTCACTCCATTGCCTGGACCCCCGAAAGAGCAGCACACAAAGCCCACTCTGTTTTGGACTTCGGGACCGACTTCTGGAGAATAAAAGGCACGAGAAATTAAAGCCACCAAAATTATCATCATTTGACATGCTGGGCATGCCAGTTCGCGCGGGGGGTGTCTCTCTTTTGCTGTATGTTTGGCATTCACAAGTCCACCGAAGGCCGAAATGCCGAGAACCAACCAACCAACCAACCAACCAGCCAACCAGCCAACCAGCCAACCAGCCAACCAACCAACCAACCAACCAACCAACCAACCAACCAACCAACCGGGTCGGACAGGGCTAAGCAGCAGACAGGGCTGAGCAAAAAAGAACACCCGTCCCTATACCAACATGCAGGTAAAAAAAGGCAATTGCAGCACATGGGTCCTTTGGCGATGGCCTTACTTCATGGAAGGCATCAGTGCTAGTCTTCTCCGCTGCAGCCTGGCTCCGGCGCACACAAATCTTACAAGTAGAAGTGTGTGTTCGCCATGGAATGGGGACACCCATGCCCTTTCACCCAAAAACAAGGGTATCCCCAAACCGGCTGGGCTGGCAAGCTGCACGTTCGGGGATATCAGAACATTCCAACCGTGTTCTTGCTGAATAAAATAAGCTATGTGCACCTCCATGAGTGTTGCTGCTGCTTCTAACTCCTCTTTGGCTTCCACTTCGGGCTCGTCTTCCTGTTCTGCTGGCGCTTCTCCCTCTGCTGCTGGTGCTTGCTCTTCTTCTGCTGCTGCTTCCTCTTCTTCTGCTTTCTGCTCTTCGGCTTCCACTTCGGGCTCTTCTTCCTCTTCTGCTGGCGCTTCTCCCAGTGATGTTGTTGCTTGCTCCTCTGCTGCTGGTAAAGTTTCTTCTTTCTCCTCTCCGGCTTCCACTTCGGGCTCTTCTTCCTCTGCTGCTGCTACACCATCTGCTGCTGCTTGCTCCTCTGCTGATGCTTCTGCCGCTTCTTCCTCTTGTTCGGTTTCTACATTGAGCTCTTCTCCCTCTTCTGCTGGCGCTTCTCCCTCTGCTGCTGCTTGCTCCTCTGCTGCTGCTGCTTCATCTGCCTCTTTCTCTTGTTCCTCTTCTCCTGCTGCTTTGGTCTCCGCTGCTTCTGCTTGCTCCTTCGCCACTGCTACTGCTTCTTCCTCCGTTTCTGTTTCCTGTTCGACCTCTTCTTCCTCTTCTACTGGAGCTTCACCCTCTTCTGGTGCTTGCTTCTCTGCTGGTGCTGCTTCTTCCTCCTCTTCGGCCTCCATTTCGAGCTCTTTTTCCTCCTCTGCTGACGCTTCACCCTGTGCTGATGCTTGCCCCTCTGATGCTGCTGCTGCTTCTTCCTCGTCTTCGGCTTCCACTTCGAGCTCTTCTTCCTCTTCTGGTGATGCTGCTTCGTCCTCCTGTTCGGCTTCCACTGGAAGCTCTTCTTCCTCTTCCGCTGGCGAATCTGGTGCTGCTTGCTCCTCTGCTGCTGCTGCTGCTGCTTCGTCCACCTCTTCGGCTTCCACTGGAAGCTCTTCTTCCTCTTCTGCTGGTGCTTCGCCATCTGCTGCTGCTGCTGCTTCTGCTGCTGCTTCGTCCTCTTGTTCGGCGTCTGCTTCGAGCTCTTCTTCCTCTTCTGCTGATGCTTCACCCTGTGCTGCTGCTTGCTCTGCTGCTGCTGCTTCTTCCTCCACTGCGGCTTCCACTTCGACCGCGTCTTCCTCCTCTGGCGCTTCACCCTCTGCTGCTGGTGCTGGCTCTTCTGGTTCTTGCGCCATCACCTTGTCCATTTGGAGCATGTAGCAAAAGAAATCTTCTGCCTCCTCATGCATGGCTCCCCAGTCTTCCTTCACACTTCCAGACACTGAGAGGTGCCACGGCTCC